AAAACTCAAACTTATCTGACTGACCCAGAACTGTATTTCCAGTCTTTTTGGACATGACTCCTCCTCCCATATTCTGTGATTCAGCCAAACTGGTTTTCTCTCAGTTCCTCAAATCTCCCTGCTCTATGCTTTCGCAATGGCCATCTCCCATGCCTAGAATTCACTCCCTCTTTGCCTCCATTTTATAGACTCTCTCTCTCCTCCTTTAAGATGCAGCTCAAGGGGCAGCTAGGTGGCTCAGTGGATAGAGTACTGGCCCTGGATTCAGGGGGACTTGAGTTCAAATCCAACCTCAGACACATAACTTACTAGCTATGTGACCCTAGGCAAGTTACTTGACCCCATTGCCAAGCCAAACAAACAAAAAAAAGATGCAGCTCAGGTATCATCCTCCCCCAAAATGTATGTTCCTATGAAATAGAATGTGAGCCTATTGATTTCAAAAGAACAAATTTCAGCGAGAAGTGAGTGCCTCCTTCTATGTCCTACCCTTACCCCACAATGCAGTGAGTGTTTTGGGGTATGGGGGGGAATTCACACTTAAGCTGACAGCATATAAAAAAATCATTCTTTTTCTGGCCCCACTCAAAACTAAAATGTGGTCATTACTCAAGTATTAATATATTTTCACTTCCTAAATCTAGTTATGAAATATATTGTTATTGATGAGAAGTGAAGCAGATCTAAGATTCAGAGCTAGACAGGACCTCAGGAATCATTGAATTCAACCCAGACATTTGCTAGCTATGTTACCTTAGACAAGTCAAAACCCTGTCTGCCTCAGTTTCCTCAACTGCAAACTAGCAATAATAATAACACCATTGTATGGGACTCTTTCCTCATTGGTGGAGATTGTCTTGTGCAATGGGTAGGGTGGAATTGTTGGGAGAAGAACTCTACTCAGAAAACACTAATATCACACCCCTTTCCATGGCTTGCTACCCTAGAGATTTCAGGGAACTTCTCCTTGGAAGAGTTCTAGGACTCTATCTCTTGGTTGAGATGAATTACCTTACTTCAAATGGGAGAGCTCCTTTATCTTGTTTACATTGTCTTGTTTATATCCTCCTGTATATACTTTTCTCTGATTTCTGTTTTGCTTTCAATAAATTAGTGTCTTTGCTAATTGCTATGTATATTCATTGTAAAACCGATATTTGGTGGGAAAGGGGTCAAACCTTGGATATAAAGCTTGAGGTACTCCTTTCATTTTCCCATTAAGGAACAGAGCTCAGAAATGTAGCTTAAACCTAAAAAAATCACATCCACTAAACTAATAATATTTAAAGGAACAGATAGATATAATCCCAGCCTAGTACCTCTTCTCTCTTAGGAGAGCAGAGTGGCCAAGCATCTGGACCCAACTTCCTACTTGCCCTCCTGGAAGGAATTAAAGTCTCCCTTAGAAAAGGGTGTGGGGAGACAAGGCTAGAGCTGTGAATCTTCTTCTTCCCTTTGAGCCACACAGCAACACCCTGTGATATATGGGGAGACAGCCCTTGCTATAAAAGAATATATTAACTTGAACATTATAGCACTAACACAGTTATATTTGATTTTATCCCCTTTTGAGTTTTCTTTTGCTCCCTTCTAAGAGTTCCTGAGAGCTCTTCCGAGCATATTTTTAAATGTCTCATTGACACTTTTTTTTCTTGCATCCCAATCACTATTCCCCTACATCTTCCAACAAACACTAGCCCTCCCAAGAAATCCAACCTACCTATAGCCATATGAAAAAAAACCACTCCAAATTACTAATAAGTAAAGAAATTCAAATTAAAGTCACTCTGAGGATCCACTTCTCACCCATAATATTGGAAAAATTGACAGAAGTAGAAAGTGAAAAATGTTCTAAGGGTTATGGGAAAACAGATACATTGATGCACTGTTGGTAAAGCTATGAATTGGGTAGGTTCTGGGAACAACATACTGGCCAAGAAACAGAATTTGGACCAAATATGGTTTATTGAGTTCACCAGCAGGGGAGTCTCACTCAAAAAGGCAAAGACTCCCCAAAGGAACCATACCCAAGATTCATATGGATTTTAGGGAGTGAAGAATAGGGGGGAATAGAGCAAAAGCTGATCTATTACGGTCCCTTTGGGGGCTTATGGCTGATCTGGCATGATAATCTTTTCCCTCAGTTTTGGGGTTAGGAGTTTCTGCATAACAGGATGTAGGGAGGCTAGGCTGTCTCTCAGAACATGTTGCACAACAGGATACCATGGCATATCCTATTTTGGGTTACTTGCATTGCTAGCACTAATGGGAGAATACAGATACTTATGTGAGAACAAAATGGAGTGATCTCAAAATGGAGTAGCTCTAGATCCACAATTGGTACAGTCATTCTGGAAAAAAATTTGGAACTATGCCCCAAAATGTTATCAAACTGAGCATACTATTGATAATAGTCTTGATAATAGTATTGATGCAGCAATACTATTATTAAGCTGTACCTCTGGAAGAATTTTAAAAATAGAAGCAGTCCCATATATACAAAAATATTTGTAGCAGCTCTTTTTTTGTGGTGACAAAGAATTGGAAACCAAAGAGGTTCCTATCAATAAGGGAATGCTTAAACAAATTATACTATGTGAATGTAATGTAATATTATTGTGCTGTAGAAATTGATGAGACTGCTTCAGAGAAACCTAGAAACACTTGCATGAACTGATACAAATTGAACAGAACCAGGAAGAGCAATATACTCTATACCATCAACATTGTTAGAAGAAGAAGAAGAAGAAGAAGAAGAAGAAGAACAACAACAACAACAACAACAACAACAACAACAACAACTCAGATTGACACAAGGAAGAAGGAAGAATCATGCTTCAAAAAGACTGATGATGAAGAATGCTACTTACTTCCTGACTGAGAAGTGATGGCCCCAAATACAAAATTAGACATATTTTTGGATATGGCCAATGTGAGAATTTATTTTATTCAATAATGCTAATTTTCACAGGTGTTTAGTTTTCTTTTCTTTTCTTTTCTTTTCTTTTTTTAAAGTGGGAACTAGGATGAGGTTTGAGGGAAAGGAAACAAGTGCTTGATAATTGAAAAATAAAACTTAATTTTAAAAAGTACTTCTCAGGGCAGGTAGGTGGTGCAGTGGATAGAGCACCAGCCCTGGAGTCAGGAGGACTGAGTTCAAATTTGACCCCAGAAACATAACACTCAGATAGCTGTGTGACTCTGGGCAAGTCACTTAACCTTAATTGCCTCACCAAAAAGCAAAAACAAAACAAACAAAACAAAAAACTACCTCTCCTCCCCAAATAAAGATATCCCTTGTAAAAAATAAATAGAATCAAGCAAAACACATTCACATATTGTCTGTCTGAAAATACACGTCTCACATTGTACCTACAGTCAAGAAGTGGGAAGTATGTTTCACCATCAGCTTCTGGATCCATGATTGGTCACTGCCTTGGTATATTAGGGTACTGGCCTCTCACATCACCTCAAACTCTCATTTGATCATCTCTGTCAATTTGATAGATGTGAAGTGGCATCTCAGAGTTTTTTTAACTTACATTTGTTATTTTAATTTGTAGCATTTCTAATATAGTTTTGATAGTTTGCATCACATTTTCTTTTTAGAACTGCCTGATTATATTATTTAATCATTCACTGTACATATGGGAGTTACTGGTGTTTCCCTTTGATGTTCTGAATTATTATTTTTCTGGTGCCCTTTTAGATTTTTGCCAGAATATATGTGGGACAGTGGTACTTCTCTATGACCCTTCACATTTCCATTTTAATTGAAAGTCAAAATGTCTACACTAGTTTCCAATTCATTTTTTTCTGGAAGGGTCTTCAAAAGAGAAAGATAGGTATACGAAGTAAATAGCTAGTTAAGAAGATGGGATGTGAGAATGAAATTTGGATTTGGGAGAATAAATATGTCACTCCAAGTACTTGTGGCTTCACCAGTGTGGATGAAGGGAACTTCACCATGACTGATTCTGATTATGTTTTTTAATTGAATTTCTCTGGTCAAATTGGCCATGACCTGGGGCCCACCCTCTGGTGATGAGCCATTCCAAAACTAGGCTGGGCCAGTGTGCAGATGACACACCAGGTACAGTGCTTTTCACACAATAAATAATACAATAAATATAATAGCACAAAATAAAATAATATAACAAATTAAATTAAATTAAATTAAAGCTGCCTTTGACATATAATACTCAGGCAAAGTCATTGCCCATCTTGCCTCATCTTTCCTTTCTTAACTTGTTCCCCTTCTGCTACCCCCAGAATGCTCCTACTCCCCAGCTATCCAATACCCTTGAATCCTATGTTCTTCCATCAAAGCTTACTCTCACTTAAGTATCCGTTATAAGTTAATATTAAAAATCTCTTACTCCTAAACAAGTATGTAGGTAAATACATGCATGTGTATATATCATATGTATTTAAATTCACACTTACACAGCTCTTTAAAATTTATAAAACATTTCCCCCATGATCCTCTGAAATTGTTAGTACAGTTATTATCAGAAATTATTAGAATCTTTGTTTTATATATGAGGAAATTGAGGATCTGAGAATTTCTATCATGCATGTATATAATCTCACTCTGTGCTCCTGGTTAGCTATCCCAGGTTCTAGGTGTCTTTTGAGTTAAAATCATCTCTAAACTTTTGCTTGAACCTCTACAAATATATTTTACTTTTTACCTGTTAGCCTGATAATACACTTAGTTCACAACAAAAGTATTTCAATTAAGTAGCAACATTATATATCTTTATAATTATAATACTATGATATATAGCTTTATATCATTATATATACATATATATATATATATATTTCTACATAATAAATCTTGAATTTACTCCCCACAAATACACGCATACTCAATAGGAATTTTGCCTTTTTAAGAATTGTGTGTGAAACACTGACACACTTGAAATATGTAGACAGTCACATGTGGGTATTCCATGCAAATTTGTGGCTAGGGAACACATAAAGACAACTCACACCTTCCGAACTGCAAATCTGCTGAAGTCTTCTATTATTATTACTGCTTTTCTCCACCTGGATCTGCTCCTCACCATGCACTCTTCTTCAGAGACTTCTCCCTGCTAGGTGCCGTCCTGTACTCCAGCTAACTATCAACTCTGGCTGTTTTCAGGCTCTCTTAACACTCTCTACAGCATACATTATGGATAGGATCTCTGCAGCTCTTTCACCAGCTCTTTTAGCTACTTCCACCATTCACTGGGGGCAGGAGTAGAATAGTTAATGTGCTTCTACCCTACAGAGAAGAGATTCCCTAGCAAGCACCATTTGCTCTGCCAGCCTGCTTTCTCAGTATCTTTCTTTAGCTCACTTACAATCCTCCAAGCCACCCATTGATCAGTCTACCATCTAATAGAGGTGCTATGATTAATAAGTCTTTCCTCTGCAGTCAAGGTTACAGATCTCTTCAATCAGTATTCTCAGCTAGTAGCTGTGGAGCTCTCCTGGTCTTATCAGCCATCTCAGCCAATGGTTAAGAAGCTCTTTCTCCTTGGTCAGGTTTATTTTGATATCATGCCCACCCTCTTAATTCTTCTTAGAACTTTTCTATTAACTGTTGCTCTCCTTCTTAACTGAACTGTTCCATCCTTCCCCAGATCTTTCAGTTCAACTGTCATATAAACGATAGTCAGAATCCATTGAGATCATAGATCTTATCGTACCAATATGTCTGAGATAAATCTCTTAGGGTTCTACTTTCACAAGTAGAAAATGGATTTAGAGACACTACATTAAGAAAATGTTTAAATTCACTCTAGCTGCCTACTTTGACTATGCAAAATAGCAATGCCTACGCTGAGCAGAAAATTCTAAGAAACTTTTAACCTTTGTCCACTTGGTTCAGAAACATATGACATCCTGGCTTCCCTCTTTCTGATGTCTCTAAATATCAATGAATTTAAGGCATTGATCTTTCCTCCTCCGATTCTTGTACCGGAATTGGGCACCTGTATTTTAAGTCCCACTTCTCATTATAAGTGAAAGGGCTTTTTTCTTCTTTTAGAGTGATTTTAGGCATCAGAAAATAAGTAGTGAAGCTATTTGGTAGGCCAAAGGTACACGGATAATCTTGCTTTTTTACCCAATATCATATTAATGACCAATCTATAGTTCCTTGAAGTCTACCTGTCACTCTTCCTTTTTCTAATCAATATTTAAAAGAATTATGCAAGATACAGGTAGAAATCAGCAAAGCTTCTTTTTGTGAGTAGAAATCAGCATAGGCTTTTCTTTTCTTTTCTTTTCTTTTCTTTTCTTTTCTTTTCTTTTCTTTTCTTTTCTTTTCTTTTCTTTTCTTTTCTTTTTTCTTTCATCCAAAGACAAGGTTTATTAGAACATCCATCATATTGTCCAGACTCTTAAGGAATCTAAGCATTTGTATTGCTAATGCAAGTGACCCAGATCTTAAGAACCTGAGCAGTGGATAGATTTTAGAATCTGATTGCCTTAATAGAGACAAGATGGACCTTACATATAGAAAGACTGTTGGAGGGATCTAGGAGGGGCCAAGTAGTTTGGGATGACTGGAGGAGGGGTCTAAGGAGATATGGATGGGAGTGGCCAGTAAGCTGGGGTGAATAGAATGCCAGGGACCTGGACCATGTGGCCAAAGGAGAATGGAGTCTAGATAGGATTAAGGGTGGTAAGTAGCCAGGGGCAATTGGAAGGTAACAGAACAGAATTGGGAGATTGAGCATAGCCACAATGAAAGTCCAGTTGTTAGGATTATAGCTTTAGGTGCCAGAGATTTGGTCCAGATTCCAAAGACATGATCTTTTCCTTTTAGGGGTTCAGATCCCATCCCCATCATTCTCCCCTCAAACAAATGGGCCCCAAATTTTTTGGGGTAAGGGACGAAGGTCTTGGCTTCTGAAATTGCTTCCTGCTGACAAGGGGCATTGAGCTGTCCCTTTCTCAAGGGTGTTCCCAAGAGGAGGTTGACACAGGTTGCATCCAGGGAATGATTGGAGGACATTGGCTGGTACCCACTGTTTGCTAACAACTGTACATGAATGGCCTATAGTCTGGAAGACACAAATCTGACAGAAAAGACTGCAGAGCCCAGATACAGGGAGAAGTAAAAGTGTAAAAGCCCCATTAAAATCATTTACATTTGACCTGCAGGATTATCTGATCTTGTTACTTTTTCTAAAGTTTAAGTAACACTTTTTCAGGTAGAAGTTTTCCACCCCTGGGTTCAATAGTTATACAAATCAATTTGCCAGAGGCTGACTTTCACTTCAATTATCATCCAAATTCTCCTCCTCAAACCAAACTGAAGATGTTTCTAATTTAATTTCAGTTGTTTGGGGGTATTGAATGACTACACATTCAGGTCAAAACAGCAAGATCTCACACACTTGCATTGATCTTTTACTGACCACTTGCTCTGATTATAGAAATTTCCTATAAAAGGATAAAGCAAGGCTTAGATTTAGGGCCCAAATATGACAGGATAAAACATTCTTAGCTCTGTTAGGATTCAGAAAATTCAGTTTTCCAACCATGCAGTATCAAATCCACCTCATGACCAGACTCAGGAATAGCCAGGTGAGTAGCATTCCTTTTCAAAGGAACATAATTGGGAAACTGATCCAGGAGGATCTCATCTTAGACTGAGGCTAAAATTGTCCTCTCAGCTTTTCCCAATGCTGACTTCCCACCAGTATCACATTATCTCTGAGTAGCTTGTGGCATTTCTCTCAGATGGTGGATTATTGATTATTGATGGATTGTTATGATCCATCAGACAACTCAAAATAAAATCCCATGAGTTTTTACCTCAAAGAGCAAGTTTCACTAATCATAGCTTAAGTTAAGCTTTTCCAAGCTTTGCATCTCAAATTTAAATTTGTCCTGGTGTAAAAAGCCAATCATTTAGAGATTGTTTCAATACACTTGCAAATTCTCAGCAAGACAAAACCCAAACAAGCTTTTTGGCAAGTTTACGCATTACAACAATAACCAACAACAGCCAAATTATTTTAGCGGCAACCAAATTATGAAAGTTGATTGACATAACTGACACAAAAACTTCACCAATTTGAAACTTGAAACAAACCCATTACCAATCAGGTGACTTCAGTTTTATTAAGTGCATTTCCAAATTACTTTACACAGATACTCAACATCTCCTTCATTAACAGTTAAAACTACAACTTCAAAAGACCATGCTTACCCAAGTTCAGAGGCTAGCTCCTTTACCTTGAGCAGGATGTGCTGAACCTAGGTGATGCTTCCAGGCAAAAGTTGCCCCAAGGCCCAAGTCCATTGCTAGGTGTTCCTGTGCTCTAGAAAGTGAATTCAGAGGGGAGGGAAGAGAGGGGAGGGGAGAGGGGAAATCTCTCTTCTTCTATGAGGAGGATTAACAGATACCCTCTTGACTCAGTGGAAGGGAGTGGGAGAAGGGAGTAACCAAGGCTGTAAGGAGCTGTTTCAAAACTCCTTAATGATCAATCATAAAACTTCCAGAAATCTGCTAAGATGTTTTTAGCTGTTTTAACTTTTCCCTGTAACCTCCATGAAGAAGGATTCAGGGATGTAGAGGGAAGGGAGTAAGTAAGCCTCAGGGAACCAAAAAGTACCTGCAGTTTTCCCAATTCCCTAGCCCCAAGAGAATTGACAGAATTGGGCATATGCTTCCAAATAGGGCATCTGTTCTTGTCCTCTGTGCTGCAGAAGGTGTACCCAGGTCCATGGCCTCAGACTGAACCAGTGGACCAAGAGCCTGAGAGCTTCAGGCCAAGTGTAAGACAGCCTCATAACCATCTGTTCTAAAAGCACCTCCAAGCCTTCCTAGGTATTCGGAGAGTAACCCCAGCTGCAGGACAAGAAAGAAGTTGGGGACGCTTATATACCTTCCAGTCTTGGCTGGAGAAGAACTTGAGGTTAGGTAGCTTCCCTGTACAAGCCATTAAAATGTTGATGTTCAGTGGTTCAGGGGTGCTGGGACCCTGAAATCACCATATGCAGATCCTTCCCGAAAGAATTTTACCCAAGCCTTTTTTCAGCCAAAGACAAGGTTTATTGGAACATCCATCATATTGGCCAGACTCTTAAGGAATCTAAGCATTTGTATTGCTAATGTCAGTGGACCAGATCTTAAGAATCTGAGCAGTGGTTAGCTTTTAAGAATCTGAGCCAGCAAAGCTTTTCTCAGCAAAGCTGCTCCCCTGTCAGAGAATCATCTCCTCAGATGTTGGAATGAAAACAGAAACTCAGTGTGTTTGGGGAAAAACTAGGCCACAGCAATGCAATGCCAAAATTCAAATGAAGATTTTTAAAGTAACCAAATAGTGTAGATATTTTGTTTATTAGCCAATATCAATATTTTGTTGTTTGGAAACATCTAGACGGTCAGACCATATATTGATTTTTATTTGAACATTTCATGCTGTGCAAAAGTAGCATAGAATAATGAAAAAAATTATTGTATTTGGAGTCCAAAGGTCTGGATTGAAATCCTTACGTTTCTACTTCCTAACTGTTTGATCTTGGAGAAGTCAATTTTCCTTTCTGAGCCTCAGTTTCCTCATATATTAAAAAGGAAATTGAACTCTCTTTCAGTTCTACATTACAAGGCTTAGGAATTTTAATCATGTGCCATTCTTTCTCTCCTGCTCCATCCATGCTTCTTGCACAGGCCAAACTGGCCTACAGAAAACCTGTGGGGACAATAGTAACATTGGGCCAATTCCATCAAGTGAACATTAACTGGGAGCTTCCACTCTGATGGAGAAACAGTGAACATTCTTGAGCATTTGTAGTCTGATGGGAGAGTGAATGAATGAATAAAAGCATCTATTAATCATTTACTGTGTACAAAGTGCTATCTATACTAAGTGCTGGTGATACAAATAGGAAAGCAAGACAATCTGTGCTCTCAAGAAACTCATGTTCCATAGATGGAGACAATACATACAGAGGGTTTCAGCAGCAGCAAATCATACAGAAAGGATTCATGATCTTTAGAGTCCAGTGGAAAAGCAGATAGTGATGCTTCTCCTTTAACATCACTTCTATTGACAAAACCACATCCATTTCTGAGGTTGACAGATTTGACAATACTCAAGACTTTGGTGGGAACAACTTTCTTTTCTGGGTCTTTGGTAGCTGTAGTTGTAGATGCAGGGGCTACTATCCTCAGAACCAGTTTTCAGCTTCTTTCTCCACAGGGGTTGCTTCCCAGAATAATGATGGCTATGGGGGTTGGGTTGGAACCAAGGCTAAGGGGATGCTGCTGTTCCCAAGGCTTTGAGGCTTACATGCCTTTCAGTGGCAGTTGGTCAGTCATTGGTGTTAGTGCTGGTGAGGAAAGTAGACCCTTTCTTTCTAGTGATTGCTTTCTTTAATGATGGCTTTGAGGCTTGGGCTAAAATCAGGGCCAGTGGCCTGAGGGAAGCTGCTATTCCTATCTCTTGGGTTCAGGCTCCTGGGCTTTCACTGAGGGGAAGTGGTGTTCAAGGTAGTGTTAGTTTGTCTTTCCTGGTACATGCTGCCTCCTGTCTCTCCTTCAGGGCGTCTA